AAAGATTCAAGTGGTGACAATTAAAGTTCAAGGAATGTGTCACCCACCATCAAGTTCAGCATGTTTTATGTCCCTTTGGCTTTGGGGGTGTGAAATTTTTGTTTATAGGAGGCTCAAGTTTTTGGTAGTAATCAGGAAGCCTTCATGAACTATGTGTGTATCGATGGAATCTGTTCAGTCTCAATCAGGGTTTGGGGTTTGTTCCGATCATTCATGGGAATGCCTTCTGGCAATGATTAAGGTTGGTCGCTCAGCAGAGCTCTGGTGTTTCTTCCATTTTGGGACGAGGTTATGGGTTCCTCAAGGATGTGCATTGTGGTAGTCCGATATGTGTATTGCCAAGAAAGGTGTAATGCGTTTTGTTTAAAGGGAACAGTTAAGGGTTGTTGGGAGTATCAGTCAGGTATCAGAAAGTTTCTTTGGAATGTATGCATTATATTCCCGTTTGTTCGCAAGTTATTATTAGGGGTTAGAATATCAAGTTGGGAATCGGTTTTGAAGCTGTGAATCATAAAGTTACTCATGAATGTCTCGAGTGATTTTTCAGGTGGGGGTACACCTGAACTGGTAAGGGTTGGATGCAATGCAGAAATTCTGGAATCGATCGTCATTACTAGTCGGAACAGTGGTTGGTAGTGGCATGGAAGAGGGTCATGAGTTATATGAGGTTTTGGTACATCATATGGTTTTGGATTGAGAAAAGTTCGCGATCGATATGTTTTGGAGATCTTTTCCGCATGTTCTTGGTGGTGACTCCAGTCAGGGACTGGGGAAAGATTCATGATGGAAGCATCAATATAATCGTGGTTGGAAGTGTGTCGTTAGTCTGGTATGCAATGTGGAATTTAGAGTGGTTCGGTGTGGGGTGGTCTGTCGGAAATTCAAACCAATTTGAGATTTCAGGTTTCGGAAAGGTAGAAGTGGTTTTATGCATGGGTTAAGGATTTGTTCCCCTTCGTGTTGGAAGTTTATGCTTCGGTTGTGTTCGGTAGCCTTGGGAAGGTCATTGTAGGCACAGGGTTTTCGGTTGCATTCCTCGCGCTGCTTGGGATGTTCTGAGTGTTAGTCAGGAGCGATTTCAAGGATGAAATCTAATTTAAGTGGGGGAGAGTTGTAACACTCCGTTTCGGATTGCTTCATTATTCGGGTTCGTGGCCCAAATCATCAGCTTTCATGACGCTTAGGACATAGGGAAGAATGGATTTGGCCCTTTTTGGAGGTGGGTGATATAGTCTAAGTGATCCGAGTGTTCGATGGCGTTTTGGAGACCAAGGGTATAATCGTAATTTATTAGTTCGGGCCTTTATATATTTTTGGGTTCTTGTGCGGGAAGTTTTAAGGCGAGGGTGAGTTGGTAGAAGCATAGGGCTTCTTGTCACCTTTCCGTGGATATAAAGTTCGTTGGAAACGGACTTAGGTCGAAGGAGTTATGATCGAATGAAGTTTGAGTGTTGTGGAGGGCCATCTCGTTCGCGGGGCGTACTAGGTGTGTACGCGGCGCGTACCGAGTAGATTGGTCGCGGGTGGTCATTTAGTGCACCGAGGGGTACGCGGGGCGTACTCCCTTCTGCCACAAAACCCTAATTTTTGGTCCTTGACCCTATTTAAAACTCATTTCTTTCATGAGCCTCTTCTTTTATCAACCTCTAAGACTTCTAAACCCTAAAATTCGACCCTTAGCCTTTATCTTGGAGCATTTAAGCCATTGTGAAGGATTTTGGAGTATTTTTTGCACTTTGAAGAGCTTTGAGCTTGTTGAAGAATCATCACCTAGAAGGGAGCTTGTAGATCCAGAAGTTTTGCATCTTTTGCAATCTTTTGAATGTAAAAAGATTTGATCTTGTCATCATTTTGGTTAGATCTTCTTTTGGGGTTGATTGTGGTCATTTTAGCCTCTTTGGTTGGACCTTGTGAGCTAAGTTTGTTTCAGAGGCTTGATCTTGTAGATATAGACGTTTTAGGTGTCCCAAAAGCATAAAAATGTGATCTTTATGGTTTCTATGGACTCATGCATGTGTTAAAACCCTTCATTAAGCTCTTTTGAGCTCTAAAGACCCATTAAGTCATGCATGCAAGTAAAGTTGCCAACTTTACATGATAAGTCATCTATGGGAATTTGAGGCAAGGAATTAAGTGGTTAAGTACTTAATGGAAAAGGTTGAGGTTTATGGGAGTACGCTGGGCGTACCCATCTGGTACGTTGCTCGTACTGGCCCCAAAGGGTGTATGTTGGGTGTACCAGCTGAGTATGCGGGGCGTACTCGGCCTGTTGGCCTTTTCTTGTTTTGTTGACTTGTTGTCCAAGGAGTGATGACTAGAAGTTTTTCCAAGTTTTACCATTGTTTATTTAGAGCATTTTTGGATATTTGGGTCTTCTCGGGCTAGGCCCATGATGGGCTTCGGCCCAATTTGGATATTTGAGCCTTATTGGGCCTTGTGGTGTCATTTCGGGTTTGGGCTATCTCTTAGGTTTGGTTGTTTGGGGCATTGTTGGGCCATTTGAGAATATGTGTTTTGGTCTAGGGTAAATTTAATGTGCTTTTGGGTAAGGCCCAAGTAAGGGTAAATTTAATGTGCTTTTGGTTTGTGGGCCTTTTGATTGTGAGTTTAGGCCTTATTCTTGGACCAAACTAGGCGTGGGGTAAAATGGTCTTATTACCCCATATATGTGGATAATTCGATTTGGTTCGGAATCCAATTGTTAATTGGGTTTTATTTGTTTGATAGTGTGGGGAGTCTAGCGGATCAGCATTCAGAGGTCTATTCGTGGGTTCAGTTGTCTAGGTGAGTTTTCCTCACTGTACTTACGGGTCGATGGCACCAATGTCGACCCTTTGGATTGTACTCCTGGTTTATCGTATGATTGAGTACTATGTTGATCTGTTAGATCTGTATCCTGGTAGTTAGGATGATGCGATGCTTAGTGATCTGTTAGATCTGCCTGTAATCTATTCTGGCTATATGTTTACTGGTTGCATGTGTTGATGTAGTGAGCTTGGGTTGAGATTGTACTGCTTTGTGCTGCCAGTCAACAAACCTGGTAATATCTATATGGGTATGTTATGTGTATGTTTATCTGTTATGTATATGTGGACATGGTTTGTGTGTATGGTTGGGTTGAGGCAGTTGCTTAGTGCTGAAGGACAATAGACCCAGGGCGTCCCAGATAGACTGTAGGCCTGTGAGGCGTACCAGTCAGGCTGAAGGCCCAGAGAACGGTCCAGATAGGCTGAAGGTCTGATGAAGCGTTCCAGTCATGCTGAAGTTTCTGTGAGCGTTCCAGATAGTTTGTAGGTTGGTGCAACATTCTAGTCAGGATGAAGGCTCTGCATGCATGTTGTTTGTGGTATATGTTATCTGTTGTGTGTTGGTACTTTAGGGGAACTCACTAAGCTTTGTTCTTATAGTTTTTTGTTTATGGTTTCAGGTATTTCAGAGAATTGTGACAAGGCGAAGGAGTGACCGTACACATCCTGATTTTTATGTCATTGATATTGGGAGGCACTGATTTTTAAGTAAGGTTTTGAGAACACTAATTTTATAAACATCTTTATTAGTAAAAGGGTCATTTTGAAAATTTTAAAATTGTTGAAAATTTTGGGATGTTACAGTGATACTGTGTTTTTCTTGGCGATAATCTGATATCCTAATCTTCCAAGTGGCAGGGGGCTATTTCTCGATCAAATTTCGAGGCAGAGTATCGCGGTCTCGCTAACGCTGCTGCAGAGACATGTTGGGTTTGTTATTTACTCCGTGAGTTTCGGTGTCCGCTTTCCAAAGCTATGATTGTCTATTGTGATAACATTAGTTCTGTGTATATGTCATCGAACCCAGTTCAACACCAGTGCATGAAGCACATCGAGATTGACATTCATTTTGTTCGTGATTTGGTTGTCTGGGGAATCGTTCGCGTTTTTTATGTTCCATCTTCCGCTCAGTATGCTGACATCTTCACCAAAGGTCTTCCGACGCAGCTATTCAATGACTTCAAGACCAGTTTGAACGTTCAGAAAACTCCTCTCGATCAAACTGGGGGGGGGGGGGGGGGGAGGGTTAGCAGATATTATATTGTCAGCCTACTATGTATTGTATTGGTAGCCCATTCTATTTATCATTGTATGTATTAGGCCCATATGCTTTTGTATATATATACACTTATCTAATGAAAGTTGATTCATGGGTTAGCACCACCACACCAATATACCACTTTGTTTTCAGTTTTAATATTGAGCTTTATCTTTATTAATTTGTCATTTAAATAAATATACAGATCAGTTTACTAAATTTTAATTAACTTAATAAAAAATATATCATTTATTTTCTGTTTCATTTACTTTTAAATCCGAAAAGTTTTATTTGGTTCCCCACTTCAAGGGCGGAGCTTTATAGGGGCAAGGGGGTTGTGGTCCCCTCTGATTTTTTTTTGTTAGAAATAGCCCCTCTATTTTAATTTTATACATATTAGGCCCATAAATATAAAATTTTGGCTATGGCCCCCTTGTTCACCGATTTTTATACGTATTATATTCCGACCCCAAATCAAATGTTGAAGCTCCGTCCCTGCTCCGCTTTGCAATATTTTTCTTGGAGCCCCTTATGTCATATAAAAACATAAAATATAGTGTGTTTTATCTGTAAATGCATTATATTTTTCATCCATATCAACACTTTTCCTCATTTTGACGATGTTTTACTCTCACCTATACTATAATCAAAAATTACTAACAAAACCAAATTAAAAATCAATAAATCATGACAATTAAGCAGGTTTCCCCGCTTCATACACGGTTTAATTGTATATTATTTTAATGTTTGTGGGGGAGATAGATATAAAAGTTAGTGACAGTTGATTATTTTTTCAATTTTCTCAATTTTTTACAAATTTATTTCTTCTTTTGTAAGTGGATTATTGATCATTGCCCAATATGAAATGCATGAATACCATTTTACTAGATATATACATATATTAAGAAAGTTGAGACTTGGATCAAAGTGGCCGACTGATTTCAGCTTTGGTTACTTGAATTTTTCAATCAGTGTGATTCTTCTTCATTCAACCCAATACTCCCTTATATATACACATACTATGCAATAAATAGTAAATCAATTGTGATACTAAAGGAAATCAGAAGAGAGAGATGGAGTTCAAGAACTACTATCTTGACCTAATAATGATACCTTTATCATTCATAATATCCATCAGCTATAACTTATGGTTATGGCATAAGGTTCGTACTGAACCACTCTCGACTGTCATTGGTGCAAATGCCCATGGACGCCGGTTATGGGTATCTACCATTATGAAGGTAACACTACTAGCTTTCCCTTAAACACCTAACTCTATGCCATTTTGGTACAATGCTTTCTCATGACAATTAGTTGAATAAGTTTTAGAATATGATTAATGTTTATATTTTCCTGCTTCTTGATGTTCTATTTTCATTGTTTTGGCAGGATAACGACAAGAAAAACATTTTAGCTATCCAAACAATTCGAAATACAATAATGGGATCAACCCTCATGGCTACTACATCGATTGTTTTATGCTGTGGTTTAGCGGCTGTTGTTAGTAGCAGTTATAGCGTCAAAACACCACTTAACAACACTATTTATGGGGCACATGGACAATTCATGGTGGCGCTAAAGTACGTGACGCTACTTGTCATCTTTCTCTTTTCTTTCATGTGCCATTCTCTATCTATTAGATTCATCAGCCAAGTGAATTTCTTGATCAACTGTCCTGAAGATTCTACAATAGTGACTTCAACTTATGTTTCCGAGCTTTTAGAGAAGAGTTTTATGCTTGGCATGATAGGAAACCGGCTTTTCTATTCGGCACTTCCAGTTATGCTTTGGATTTTTGGTCCGGTGCTTGTTTTGTTGTGTTCTTCAACCATGGTGCCTGTGCTTTATAATCTTGATTTTCTGTTTGAAAATTCAAAGAATGGTAAGATAATGGCATAGAGAATCGGGCGTGCACATGCTCATTGAAAACGATATTTTAATCTGTATGCAAGATTTACCATCAGGTTTATGAAATGACCGAGCATAGATATCCAATGTCTTGAGTACAAAACTAATTTGTAGTGACAATTTTGTTAGTGATCGATCGGATTTCCTTAAAAATAAATAAATCGTATTCATAAGGTGATATACTCAATGGAGACGGTGTCCCAGATACAAACTTTAAAAAGAAAAGAAAATCGGCAATGGCATTAGAACAAGAGAAGCTAGCCACAGGCTAGCAAGAACATGACATTACAAAGGGTGATCGGCTAAGATTGGGCCAGACATCCACAAACTCCAATCTATTCTGTGTTTCCTGCATCTACCTAAAAAGGCTGAAATCCAGTTCAGAGAGTGAAGTTAACAATTAAAAACTAATCTATCACAGTTGCAGCCTTTGCGCTCATTAAAAACAATGTCATTTCTAAGATTGCACAGCTTCCATATGACAGTGTAGACAGCTGCGGAGCTACTATGTAGCCCGGGGTAGCCTGGCTACCCTCAAATGTAAATTTATTGATTTTTTTCAAAAATCCGTTGCAAATCCGTCAATAATCCATCGACAATCCATCACAAAGTCTGATAATTGTAAATGTAGTGTAAATTCGTTGGTTTAGTGACGTTCCGAAACAAATTTTCTTTCTAGCAGTGCAACTCCTAAAAAATTTGTGCAACCCTGATTTTTCTTTCTTAATCCCACTAAGTATAGACCATGACGTGAAGGACCTTTTTACTCAATTAGACAGAGAGTTTGTTTTCGATCGTATTGTTCAAATCATCATAGCTTCCCATGCATCAAATGCAACATTCCACCAATTTCCTTCTTGAGCCAGACGACCTTTGAAAAGGAACATTCAAAGAGCACTTAATATGTAGTCTCCACATATAAGTTACAAAATTGGCATAACACGTTGTCCAAATCGATACTGATCCTGTTTAGGTCGTCCTACTTTGTAATTTTGTTCAATTTAACACACCAATTGACAATATTTACCTTGTGGGGAATGAGCTTGATCCACCTGGTCGGATATGATCTTGGGAAGACTCCAACAATCTATCATCAATAGATGCTCTCGAAGATGATAGTGTGAAGAAACCTTTTGCTATGAGAGACAGGACCCATGAGCAGGCCTGGGTTGATTTGTTAGTGTCTGCGGTAGGTCGGGCTACCCCTCAGAGTTTTGTCTTTGAAACTTTATTTATGTGCAATCAATAAAAAAATTGTGCAACCTCCAAGTCCAAAGGCATACAAAATTAAATTAAACAAAGCCAACCCATTTTGTGTCACCTTTATTTTTTTTCGAGGTCTGTCAAGTCCACTTTTATTTATTTTATTTATTTTCATTTTTTATTATTATCATGGAAGATAAGAAGAGGGTGCTTGGTACAAACAAATAAAAGGTGAGAAATGGAATTATTTGTTTGTTTTGTATTAAAATGAAGAGAAAATGAAACATATTGAATTCTATTTCCATCGTTTTTATTCTCTATTATTTATAGGGAAATGGTATAGTGAAATGGTGGGAAACAACATGTAAACGCATCGGAGAACAAAAAAAAGCGGAGAAATGTGGAACGACCAAACTCTCCACATTTTGATCCCTAAACCCACATTTGGTTATATTTTTTTTCTGTCTTCAAAGATTATTTACCAACATATACGATTAGCCCATACCTAATACCTCGCCTAAATGGAGAAAACTATGGTTGATCTAGCAAAATGTACACTTGGAAAGCATGGAAAGACACTATCTCTAAAATTGGATATAAAATGATTATTATAAAAAGCATTAATTTATATCTAATTTTTTTTTGTTAATAGTTAATATAATCATTATATGTTTTTTTTGTTAATAATTTATTTTCTTAATACATCTCTTGATTTTGTGTAAGTGTTATGATATATACATATATAGATTTTGAGAACACAAGGTTTTAGTAACAGGTTGCCAAATTAAATTGTATCTCTAAAAATGTAACAATTAAAATTTTAATGTGATTTTGTATATATGTATGATGATATGATCACATTAAAAACAACAAATGAAATACGAAGATAAGAAATTACCAAGCGTGCGATTTTATTTCTCTAATGAATTTTTAGTTCTACCAAACAAGAGATGATTCTCAGAAATATTTTTTTAGTGGATTTTCAGTTCTACCAAACTATTTTTCTAGTGGATTTTCAGTTCTACCAAACATGGAGTCAATTCTCTTTCTCTGGCTTAATTCTCTTTCTCTGCATTTTCAATCTCTGTTGCAATTCCATTTCTCTGTACTAAACGCACCCTATGGCCTCCGTTATGGAATAAACGAGAAATCACAAAGAACCATACATACACACAAATATAAAGATACATTATTTAATATGGTTATGTGAAGCTAACCTACATCCACATGACATGAGGAAGTATATTCACAAGCTCAAACAATGTTACAAGTTTAATATAACAATTCAAGACTTCAAGACAATTTAAAGACCTATCTAGCAAAACCTATATATAGACGGGGGACCAAACATAAAACCCTAATAGACCAAACCCATTAATTCATAGGTCCAATTGGATGTCAACCAATCACATGATGTCATGCGGCCGCTTCTAGAATCTTTAACTTTTGACATCAAAGAACACATTTGCACCAAAGAGATCACCTTTAGACCGAATAAGCACTTTATGGAGGGACCAACACATCCAAGAGAACATTCTCCCATGGAACACATCCTCCACCTGTAATCCATTCATGTAACTCATCCTCTCCATGGGGTGCATTCTCCTTGAGCACATTCACCAGCAGTACATCGTTAGATCCTTGAATACCCTAGTGCATTCTCATATTCAGAAGGAGTGAATCTTCCATTAAAATGCGCTAGCCTTGCATTTGGCATGACCCTAACACCATTAGGAAGGCTTAAATGCATTTCACATTCCTAAAAGCTCCATCAGGTGTCAGGATTGCGAAATGCTTAAGTCACATTTAACAACCTTGATTAGGATCTCAAACTCTTCAATCTTACTTATGCCTCTCACCTCTCTCCTCCATGTCCATGTCTCATTGGTAGTCTGATAATGATATGCTATTGCATGCAATCCCAAAGCAATAATGAAACACTCCTCTTATAGGTTAGAATAAATAATTATTTCTTAAAGCCCACTTTAAATGTTTTTAAACTTCATATGCAAAATTTAACTTAAACTTGCATTTAACACTTTGAAAATCCAAAAAGTTAAGTAATTCGATATAAAGGTGTTTACAATCCAATATCATCACAAAATTTTAAATAAGCCATATAAGTTATGACCTTCTTAAATATTGAAGTTTGTTAATTCTATGTTTCATTCTCATTTACAAGTACATGTCAGAATAGTATGTTAGGCTCGGGAAGCTTAATGAGTAATACCAGAATCCGAAAATGGAATAGGATTGGGTGATGTCATTAACCTAACTCCTAAGTCTTGATTAAAAAAACACTTGAAAACCCCCTTTTAAAAACATTAAACAATTTTCCATAAGAATACTAAAAATATATAATTTAAGAGTAGGTAAACTATAATCAGTGATAAAATGTACATACAAATATCCCAACCCAATCTACTACTCTCAAATAATTCTCTTTCATCCGAACAAACACATGGTCTGCTACAAGAAGAATGTGCATCTTTGAAAGCCTTAATTTAAAAAAAATGAAAATTTCATTTTAAAATGATTGAACCATTTTCCATAACAATACTAAAAAATATATAATTTTAAGAGTTGGTAAACTATACTCAACGATGCAATGCACATAAAACTATCCCAACCCAATATACTACTCTCAAATAAGCCCCCTTTCATCCTAATAGACACATGGTCTGCTACAAGAAGAATGGGAATTTGTGAATAATATATTAAAGAATGGTTAGTCGGTCTTAGATAACAATTATTTGGGACAGATGAATCACTCTTAGATACTATCTAGGAATGATTTTAATGTAAGAATTATTAGTGACTGAGTAAACGTATTTAACACAGAAATTCAACCTATGATACGTTTATGCCATTTTATGTTTAACCGGAGGGAAACATATTATGGATTAAATTTCAATATCGGGTACACTAGCACCATTTTTTACTTTAGAAGGAAACTTGGTAGCGACTAAATTTTAGTCCTTGATAGCATGTTCCATTTGGATTTTGTAGTTATCTTATTAGGCACTAAATTTTGATATTTGACAGAATGACACCAATTTTGTCATTGGAGGAAAATTTATTATTTACTAGATATTAGTATCAAATATTGATTATTTAGGCATGGATATCATATATCGGAGACTAATGAATCATTCAAGAATATTATTTTTAAATAATCAAATTATGGAGAGAGTTTTAGTTTTGGATAAACTAGCACTAATTTTGACTTTGGAGGAAAACCTATTAGCGACTGGATTTTAGTCCTTGATAAACTTATGCCAGTTTGATTTTTTAAAGAACTTATTAGGTATTGAATTTCAGCATCTATGGAATTACACCAATTCAACCTTTAGTGGGAAACTTATTAAATGATGAATTTTAGTATACGTGTCAAATTATTAGTCACTGGCGTCAAATATAAGAGATTAATTAATTAGTGACGAATACTATTTGGAAGGAAATAAATTAGGGATTGAATTTTCGTCACATATTAACTAGCACTAGTCTTAGTTTGAAGGTAAACTTATTAGCGACTAAATTTCAGTCCCCGATAGATTTATGATATGTTTGATTTTGTAGGGAACTTACTAGGGACTTAATTTCAATTACTAATATAGCGTATCAATTTTGATTCTTAAATGAAGATTATTGAAGACTAAGTTTTACTTATTTGGTCATGTATTGTAGCACCCTAACCTCAATGGTGTTTCTCCATTTTTTTAATTTGGGGATTTATAGT